ATACCTTAGTGAAAAAGTTAATAAATTCGTAAGGCAGGAACTCCCCTTTGTAAAACCATGCTGAGATTCGTTGATTAATTTATGCTTTTCAAGGTGGCTACGTACTGCCTCGGCAATTATTGATTTCATAAATTTTCCCACTATGGAGGTTAGGCTTATTGGTCTATAGTTCGAAGCTAAGGACCTGTCACCTGCTTTGAAAATAGGTATCACATTTGCTATTTTCCACTTATCTGGCACCATGCCAGTTTGTAGTGATGTGTTGGAAAGATTAGCCAAAGGTTTGCTAAGCTCCTCTTTACATTCCTTTAGAACCCTTGCATACAGTTCATCAGGACCTGGGGATTTGTTAGGTTTTAATTTATCTATTTGCCTAAGGACCATGCCACTTGTGACCCTAATCGTGCACAGTTCATTATCGTCCTGTTCTACATAATTTATCATTTCTGGAATATCGCTGATATCCTCCTGTGTAAAAACTGAGAGGACGTATGTGTTAAAAATTCTACACATTTCCTTATCACTGTCAGTGAGCTGACCCGAGGAACTTTTGAGTGGGCCTATCTTGTCCCTGATCTTACTTCTGTATACCTGAAAGAATCCTTTTGGGTTAGTCTTCGATTCTCTTGCAGCTTTAACCTCATAATCTCTTTTTGCTTTTCTAATTCCCTTTTTTATTTCTCTCTTTAACTGAATATATCGATTTCTTAATATCGGCAACCATCTCCACCTACCTGACCCTTAATCAGGTCATTCCATTTCAGCCCACCTAAGTAATTTTTCAGCCCTATGAAATCAGCCAAGCGAAAGTCAGGGACAGACTTGATTGCCATTAATTAGGGGAATTCCATGATATATTAAAACTGAGTGATTTGTGATCACTTTCCCCAAGCTCATCATTAACCTCAAGATTATTAATTAGTGTTTCCCTACTGGCAAGAACCAAGTCAAAAAGGTTATTTCCCCTAGTTGACTCTGTCGCAAACTGTTTTAAAAAACAATCCTGGATCGTATCAAGAAAGTCACCTGACTCTAAATTTCCTGTCAAATTGCTCCAGTCAATCTGTCTATAGTTGAAATCTCCCATTAGCACAACATTTTCGTATGTAGATGCCTTACGAATTTCGTCCCATAGAAGTTTACTGCACTCCCTATCAAGATTTGGGGCCCTGTAAATCACACCCAAAATTAGTTTTTCTCGGCCCTCCAGAAGCTGTAAACAAACAGATTCAGTGGCCGACGCTTCTAATTTTATATCTTGTCTAACACAACAACTGGATATTTGGTTGTAACATTGAGCTCCGCAGTTTCAGCTGATCTTCTAGTTGCGTATCCTTCATTTTGGACCTTAATTGAAGGCGTCTTGATTTGTGCTAGGTAGAAGAATGTGGATTCGCAACAATAAGTGGATGAGAAACAAGAAAACATTCATCATGCATGTTGTCGTAGCTGTGTGTATTCTCGTGCATTTCTCCACGTTTCAATGTGATCTTTTCTATTATCAAACACGGACTTTAAAATGTTATCTTCTGAGATCTCCATCAAAACTTAAAAAATGTTGCGAAATTGACGCTGCAGTGTTGCATGTACATGAAGAGGCTGCTCAGGCTGAGAGTGTTGTTGAGGAGTCTGCAGCGGCAGTGGTTGAAGCAGAGGCTGCTCAGGCTGAGAGTGTTGTTGAGGAGTCTGCAGCGGCTGTGGTTGAAGCAGAGGCTGCTCAGGCTGAGGGCGTTGTTGAGGAGTCTGCAGCGGCTGCTCAGGCTGAGAGTGTTGTTGAGGAGTCTGCATCGGCTGGTGGGTTGAAGCAGAGCTGCTCAGGCTGAGGGCGTTGTTGAGGAGTCCTGCAGCGGCTGCCCTCAGCTGAGAGTGTTGTTGAGGAGTCCTGCAGCGCAGTGGTTGAAGCAAGGCAGCTCAGGCTGAAGTGTTGTTGAGGTGTCCTGCACGGCTTGGTTGAAAGCAGGAGGCTGCTCAGGCCGAGAGTGTTGTGGAGGAGTCTGCAGCGGCTGGTGTTGAAGCAGAAGGCTGCTCAGCTGAAGTGTTGTTGAGGAGTCTGCCAGCGGCTGTGGTTGCAGCAGAGGGCTGCTTCAGCTGAGAGTGTTGTTGAGGGAGTCTGTAGCGGCTGTTGTTTGAAGCAGAGGCTGCTCAGGCTGAGAGTGTTTGTTGGAGGAGTCTGCAGCGGCCTGTG